TCCGCTAGTTCGATTCAAATTCGAACTAGCGGAGCGCTAGTGTAGCGCATAGGAAAGTTAGTTCGAACTAACGTCCGTTAGTTCGAACTAACTTTCTAGTGTAGACATACCCCAAGTTACAGGGCAGCAGTCCTGCTGCTTCAGTATTCCTGAGGAAACACTGACTGATAATGGACATCCTATCCTGGTACTCAGAGCTCAGTAGCTGGGACACATCAGGGACCTGGCAGCAGGGGAAACCAGATTTAAAGACACTTTGTGATGGAAAGAATATTTATATTAAATAGCACCCCATAACCTGCTCACCAGTCACACACTCTGAGGAGCTCAGAACATCCTATCACTTACACAGCTTTTAATCTATTGATTGTGTGCCATGTGAACTTTTTTATCATTCTACATTTTTAATAAAAAGGCCCTACAGAAGTCTAAGTGTTTTTTTTATCAAACAAACTTGCAACTGTCCCCAAAAAAGGTATCAGAATAGTCTTATAGGATCTATTTTCCATAAACGCATGTTGACTGGCTTTCATTATATTCCCCTCCTTTAATTCTTTATAAATTGTATCCTATAACAGCCACTCTATTCTCTTGCCAGGACTGATATTAGAATGGCGGGCCTATAGTTACCCAAGTCATACTGTTTACCCTTCTTAAACACTGACACAACAATAGCTTTCTTCCAATCTTCTAGAATAGTCCTAGCATTCCAAGACTTATTGAAATCAACACTCACTATCCAAAGATGTCCTCAGCCAGCTCTTTTACAACTCTTGGATGATAATTATCTGAATCAGCTCATTTAACAATCTCTAACTTTAGTAGCTACTGTATTGCAGTATTCCTTCCATTCTACTAATATCTCTGGAGGAGATCAAACGCTATGACTTCACCATCATATTGTCCCCAGAAATTCTGAGCTTCTGATTTACATATATTGTCATCATCTACTTCACCTTTCTTCCATTTGGTTAATATACAATGTTTTACAGCCACTTTTACTTCTCCTCTCAACCAAGTTGATTTTTATTAACCAATATGGCCTCCTCCCTTAGTTCTGCATTTTTGGGCATCTGGTGAAATGTTCTTAAACAATTCCTATATATCCCTTTCATTGTTCATTGATTAAATTTACTCCTGAGACTGGAGCTCCTCCCACCTTGCTCTCTAGTGAGTTCTGTGGCTCTCTGGCACCTGGGGTGGATGTGATGCTCTGGATTTTGAGTAGCACTGTGCTGCAGTGTCTGCATTGCACAGGCACTTTCTTGGTGCTACCTACCCAGTGCTCACAGAGATAAAAGCACAGCACTGGCTATGCCCATCTACCTGGCAACCTTAATGAACAGCATCCCCTGATTCTGAATAGTATCCACTGATCCTTGTCACCCCTGTTGAATGTGGAAACAGCCTCTGTAGAGCAGGATTACCCAGTTCATGCCATAAGACCCATTATCTTTCCCCCATGCAGTGACAATGACCTGCCTTCAGGAGAGACACTGATGGTTTAAGCTCTATGGACAGTTTCCTTGCTGAGTGGAGAGAACCACAGAGCATCGTGCTAGTCATGGGCATAATCCCCAGGAAAACAATCCCATAACTGCCCTGCCCCCTATAACAGTCAAGGCCTCTGCCAAACACGCCTTCCTCACAATTCTGCCCCGGCTGGGCCCAGTAGATTTCAGACAAACTGAGGGCTGGGCCCTGCACGGGGCAGGTGCAGAGTGCCAGGTGCAATAAACCAAGGTATAAAGTGCTGCGCACAATGGGAGAGCAGGGGAACCGGATGTTTACTTCACTAGAAAGCTGCTGCACGTCAACCAGGTCACTCCTGCCTAGCATGGAGCTAACTGCTCATTAGCACCATGAGGAACATGCTTAAACCCTGGCCATGTCAGACACACCCTTTCGCCTTCCATGCTCTGCTCATTTATTACCCTGTCCTCTTGTGAGTAAGGCCTGGCAGATGGGTTGTGCCTAGCACTTATCCGTGTTTGCACACACAACCTGAACTTGTGATGGGAAATGATCAGCCTCCCAAGGAATACAGCCCAGTCCTGTATGATCATATTTAACAATACTTGGCACTTACACCGCTCTGGTCATCAGCTGATCCCAAAGGGCCTTACAAAGGAGGGCAGGGTCATTCTTCTCATTTTACAGCTGGGGCAAATGAGGCCCAAGGAGGGAAATAACTTGACCAAACCACTCAGCAAGCCAGATCAGAAAGAGAGTTTTCAACTCTGAGGGCCTCTCCCATGCTCCACCCTATTAAGCCATTTCCAGCACCCAAGGGCTATGTCTACACTGCCGGGTTCTTGCGCAAAAACATCTTGTGCAAGGGTTCTTGTGCAAGAAGTCTTGCACAAGAAAACGTCCACACTGCCATGTGCGAGATGTGCTTTTGCGCAAGAGCTCCCATGGCAGTGTGGATGCTCTCTTGCACAAGAAAGCTCTGATGGCCATTTTAGCCATAGAGCTTTCTTGCGCAAGAAATCCCTGCCAAGCGTCCACACTGCCCTCTTGCTTACACCTGATAAAAAAGAGCATAACTCTTGTGCAAGAAGCCTTTTCTTACCATGCCGTACTGTAAATGTCCTTGCGCAAGAGCGGGTGGGCAGTGTGGCTGCTCTGCAGATTCTTGCACAAGAACAGCTGTACTAGACATAGCCAAGATGTTTCCATGTAACCCTTAGAAGAAGAAATTCCATGCGACTGCTTCAAACATCTGAGCTGCACCTGCAGCCTTCAACACTGCCGCATTTGGTTAGTCCATGTCCATCAGCAGCTTGATTTTTCCTTCCTCCATGCTCCAGATGTACTCAGCTTGTGTGAAATGACCAGATTGTGAGCCCAATGCCATAAGGCTGTGGCACAGTGCCATGCTATCTAGGCTTTGTGGGTGACTTTCTCTCTGACAAAACAGGAAAGGGAACTTTCTCCAGCAGACTGCACAGCCAAGTCGACTTTGGAACTATTTCTAAATGAAATGCTTAAGCTCCACATCCTCTTTCCTCCGGCAGTTTGTGTCTACGTGCCAGCATCTGCCTGCTTGTCTGATTTTGGAGCCTGCTGGTACAAAAGCGTCACCATGTGGCACTGGCAGCTAAGCCCTTGATAATTATGGCTTGGATGGTGGGAAGGGTTTCTGTGTGTGATTTGTGGCGTTCAAAAGAAGGATGAAGGGTACAAAACCAGTGCATGAGTGGGAGATTTAATAGCCATAGCAGGGCATTTCTGTGAGCACAGACAATTTTCCTGTAATGTTGAGCTAAAGAAAAATCCCCAGAAGAAATTGGCTGATCATAAAGTTACTGAGCCCAAGTTTTGTTGCTCCAGGGTCTCTGTCCACTTGCCCTGAATAGCACTGCTGCTCACAGTTGTCTTTAAAGAGCCCCCAGCCCTGGCACAGACAGGCACAGGGGCTCACAAAGGAAGGACGTGACCAGTGGGTTCCCCAAGGATCTGTACTGGGCATTGGCCATCCCTAGGGGGCAGAGGGGACCAGGACAACCCCTCTCCACCCAGGTCCTGCCCCCACCCCACAGTACCCCTTCATTGCCACCCTTCTCTTAAGCCTTTCCCCTGCTCTGCCTCTTCCTACCCTTGCTCTGCCCTCTCCCACCCCCGTTTCACCCCTTCCTTAAAGCCCCTTCCCCCAAGTGACATGACCCAGGGAATTACCAAGGCACCTGTCCTGGGGCCATTGCCAGGGTAAGACCCCTGCACTCACTTCAGTGCTGGGAGCCAGAGTAAGCCAGTAGCCCACTATGCTCTGCTCCCCTGATCCTTTGCTACCTAGGGGAGCGGAGCCAGCTAGGGCCGGGTCACTCCACTTCCCACTATCACAGTGAAGTGGAGCAACCCTGCTCAGAGATGGAGATAGAGCAGAGCAGTCTTCTGCATCCGCTACTCTGCTTCTCATGGCTCCCATTGCTGCGGTGAGTTCATGGGGTTACACCCTTGCTGCCGGCCACAGACACCCAGGTAACCATCCCGGTCACCCTGGCTCCCACAGGCTAGCATCCATATGAGGGACTGTCCCATCCATAGACAATTGGAGCAGTGCTGTGGGGATCCCCAAAGTATGGGGCCCAATGCGGCCACCCCAAACCATCCTATGGATGGGACAGTTCTGGTGCTGGGACTTGTGCCCTTCAATGTATTAACTAATGATCTAGAAAAGGAGGTGAACAGGGAAGTGGCACAGTTTGCAGATGTTACAAAATGTGCCTCTATCGCATGAGCTAAAACCCAACTGGCTCTCAGCTGAGGCTGTAGAGCAGACTCCACTCTCCCTTTTTCAGTAGCCTCAGTGCCCCTGGTTTACATAGGCATAGAAATCACTAGGCTGGGGTTATTTGATTTCCTACCAAGGACTTTGTCCTGTAGAATCACTAAGGCTTTGGAGGTTTCTCTCTTTAGGTTTCCCTTTTCTTCTTTCCCTCCCTTTTTCTCTTCTTCTCTTGCCCCCCTCTTCTCCCGTTCCATTCTTCCTTGCTCAGGTATGTGTGTGTGTGTTGGGGGTTGCTGTAACTCGGGGAGGCCCTCACAGAGAGGTGGGGCTAGGAGAGCTCTCGGAGACTAATCCCCTCCCGTGGTGACCCAGGCCAGCCTTTTGGACTTCTGCTGAGACCCCTCCATCTCCCAGCTCTCAGAGTCTTGATGCTGATTAGCTGAGCAGGTGGCTATTGACAGGAAGACTCTGATCCTTTTGTTCTCTTTAAGGCCAAACAAATAACATGTATTTGACCGTGCTGCTTCTCTGCAATTATTATCTCTGCACAGTTTCTGATTCTCTCTAATGTGCCAGTTCTTCTCAAATACTTGCTGAATAATGATTATGAGCAATTGCTGGTCTTTACCTCATTTGAGAGCACTTTATTCTGAACAGTCAACATCAGCCTTGCAGGGGAGGGGTGGGTGCTGCAGTGACACCACAAAGGGCTGTTGTAGGACCTCGGCCTATTGGGGAAAGGTAGTAGTGACCTCACAAACAGGCCCTGACATCAGCCAGGCAGGACAGAGGTGCAACACAACCTCAGAGACACCCCCTTTTATGGATGGCTTTGTGGGAGGCCATCCCAAAGATGTGAGTCTGGAATTGCTCTGAGATGCATCCCCTCTGCTGGTGATCTGCAAAGACGTCTCAGCCTCCTACTTCTCAGAGTCTTGATGCTGATTGGCTGAGCAGGGGGCTACTGACAGGGAAGAGAAGTTTTCCCAGTTTCCCAACTGTGATTGATGATTGTCCCTTCCTTTGCAGCTTGGCACGAAGCCTTGTCTGACCTCAGGCATGCCATGGTGGGGAACCTGCTGGCAGAGTCCCCAGATACAGAGAGGTAGGTTCCAATACATCTTGGGGGTGAGTATGGTCAGGAGGGGTAGAGGCAGTGCTACCTTAGTGCTGAGGGGAACTGGAAACTGAAGACTGGAAATCCATTTTCCAGTCTGTCCTCCTAGCATGCATCGCAGTGAGCCATCTTTGTCCAGGGCAGTGCTATGTTGGGCCCTTCCTCCTTCAGGGACAGGGAAAAGAGATGGAACTTCAAGTCAGGGCTCTGTCTGGCTCTGGAAATGAGAGTCTCCAACTCCCTACATCCACACAACCTGCCTTGCTCCCACCATGAGATGCAGGAGATGGTGCTCACAGAAGAGTCATGGATTCTTTCGTAGGTGGGCTTGAAGGGAGTCAGCTCTTTTCCCCTTCTGTCACTGAGATTTGGCAGGAGGTGGGGGGAATTGTCCTCACAGTCTCTCTCCTCCTCTGACTAAGGGCTTTCAAGCCAGTAAAGGGTAAGGAGTCTGTCTACATCCTGATGAGCTGTTCATGAATCAGTTCAGAAAGGGTGGGACCAATCCCAACACTGAACATTGTCCTGGTCTAGAGAGACAAATTGTGACAATCCCCTTCTCAAGCTCCACGATCACTTTGAGCACAAGGTCTCAGCCCCAGGGGTGTGCACCAGTCTATTGATTCTTACCTGCTTCCATTCCCCAGTCTGTCAATGTCTGCAGCAGGCTCAGAGAGTCTCAGGAGAGAGCCAAGGCCATAAGGAATAGTAGAACCACATTCTGATTCACCATCCTTCTCCTTGAATGTGAGGTAAGTGACTTCTGACCCCAGTTTCCTGATGCCAGGTGTAGGCAAGCTGGCTCCGATAGGCTGTAGGACCTGCAGCCGCAGGAGTTGTGGGTTGGGAGTATTCCCTTGGGAAGGCAAAGTGAAAGCAGGGAATGAGATAGACTTGAGTCAAGTTCATCTTCTCCTGCTTCAGTGGAGATCCTGGGACTTTAAGGGGGTCATGTTCCAACCCCTGTTCCAGCCAGGTTCATGCCTGGCCTTGGGTCCCTTCTTGTCCCTTCTTGTCCTCCTGGAGCAGCTGGGGTGCAAGTCGTCATGGAGGGCCCTGCTCACATCCCTTTGCTCCAGGCTCCCGCGGGGACAGAAGGAGTTGAGGGTTTAGCTCTAGCTTGTCTCCCCCAGTGTGTTCACCAGAGGGACTTCAGGAGAAAGACTCCTGGCCCAGGGGAGACTGGGAGCTGATGTTATGCTTAAACGAAGCACGCAAGATCTTTTATAGGGGAAAAGGCAGTACGCTGCATTTATTGAGAATACAACAGTAGCATATGCTTTTCTGTCACTCACACACACAAACACCGTACACACAGTCCCGCCAGATGATGCTATAGTTACCAGTCCAGAGTCTGGATCAATCTAATGGCCAGCTAGATCAATCACAGAGTGGGAGCAGGGCCTTTGTCGGTCATGGTCCGATGCTCCTCTGGAGTTGGTGGCAAGACAAACCCAAAGTTCCATAGCAAGGCACCCTGCTTTTATAATACTCTTCTCTGTTGAAGACTATGGATTCTGCTGTGTCAGTCTGTGTCCAGTGTTTTATCTTTTGATGTCAGTCATTCCCAAAACATTGCCAAGAGGCCCATCCTGTAATCAATTGTCTTTTGGGGGTGCTTGCTTCACTTGAGAGTTGTCAGTCTGCAAATCTGATCAATTCCTGGCCATGGGTACATACTGATGGTTCCTCTGATGCCGATAAGTCTATTTTCACCCACGCTTCACCCCTCCTTTCTTGGCCATCTGGCTCTGAGGATAACCGTCACACCTTTATCTCGACACATACATACCACTTTCACACATAAACAGGGGCGGATGATAATTTTACAGGGCCCAGGGCAGCGCCGCAGGGCCCTGGGCGGCACAATTTCACGCATCCACCTCGGCAGCAGCTGACCAGAAGTAACGTTTTGCGCATGCGCCTCGGCAGCAGCCAACCAGAAGTAGCATGCGAGGGGTGCATGCACGGGGTCTATTGAAGCGTGGAGCCCAGGGCAGCCGCCCCGCTCGCCCTGCCCTCTATCCACCGCTGCACATAAACAATCTCTACAAGGACCTTCAAAGAAAATAAACAAAGCATCTCATATTGGGCAAAGCAGAAGACATTGTAAATCAAACAATTAAAACTTCAGCCTTCAGCCTTCCTCTAATCTCATTAACATAGACACAATACCAAAACCTCTGTCTCTTTACTTACTAAACTCACTAAGCTTTAATACAAAGAAATATATGTCTTACTAAAGGGCTTAGTTTAATGAAATATTTATATGATAATGTTACCTTACATTGCTACATTATTAAACCTAAAATACAAATATAAAAAGAATAAAACTTTCTGTTCCAACACTGATAATAGAATTCTGATGGAGCCTCCTCTCCTTCCCTTCCATTAGAACTCAGCACAGTTCTCTGAACTTGGCGGCTTAGCTGAAACTGTCCATCAGTGACTCAGCTAAGGACATCAGCTGGCTGGCCAGCGAGGCGATTTACCAGCTCTCCAAAGTACTGCTCTGCTAGAGGTAAGGAAACCCAGCTAGGAAATGGGACCCAATAGAAAAGTGACACTGACAGAAGCCAGGCAACAGGACCCCTCAAGAAATGGCCCACCTCCCATCTGAGACTCTCTTTCTATAAGCATCCCTTACATCCATTGCAATGTCTCGGGAGACCTGGTTGCTTCTGTCTAGTTTCTTATGCAATGCCTATCATCATGATATCTGAGCACCTTTTGACTTCTTTTAGACTATATCATTACTATAAAAGGGATGTGTGGCAGGGGGGAGAGGGGTGCCTTCACTGAGATAACCACGTCAATGTAAAATCCTAGGTAAGGCAAGGGACAGGTTTTTTTTACTTTAATGTACCCAGCCGAGGTAAAGCCAAGGTAAGAGGGTCTGACATTGACCTTGTCTAGCAAAATCAAAGTAAAACCTCCCTTTTGCTTTGTCTTCTTCACTAGAGTTTTACATTGAGATGACAGCTATCTTGAGTAAACAATCTCAATGTAAAACACCTTTTTTTTTTTTGAATGAACTCCAAGCTTTACTTATGTTGATCTTCTATGAATAGGAAGATACTAATTCAGGGTATGTCTACGCTACCCTCCTAGTTCGAACTAGGAGGGTAGTGTAGACATACCCTCTGAGATTGGCCCCAGCTGGAGGATGAGTTTGTCTCTTTCCTTCTCCTCCTACTCCATTTAGGATCAACCCCCTCACCCCCTTGCAGGCACTAAGGATACTCCACCCACCATAGGGAGCCCTGCTATTCTGTGCGGATAGAGATGCAACCCAATGGGAATGGAAGAACACAGCCACCAAAACCAAGAAGCTGCTAAGGAACAGCTGGCATAGGGAGATCAAGGCAACAGGAATACCTACAATTGGTGGAAGGGGGTCTGGCACTGGTGCTCAATAGAGAGGAAGATGAGTCCATCCCAGGCTGTCAGTTGCCACTAATCTTCATGATTCCTCAAGGCATCCAAGTCTCTGACACACCCTTGTTCTCTTAAGACAGGATTACATCACAGCCATGGTGGTGTGCCAGCTCCACTCCATCTGATCCTGTCACTACGGGCTTGAGGCTCTGTAGGGACTGCCACTTCTAAGGTGCCTCTGATAGGTTGTAGAACCTCACATTGGGCCAGGAAGCTTTAGAAATCAAACCTGATCTACTGGAAGGCCTTTCCTTCCCTCGCACCTCTGCGGAACCTGCTTCGGCTGGAGGAAGAGTTTCAAAGGGAACCTGTCATGGGGTGTGCTTGCCTGCATGCTACCTCAGAAACCAAAGGGTTAATCCAGGCACTGCTAGCCACTGCCTACTGGCAGGCTAACAACAGGTGGGAGGATCAAAGGGGAGGGAAGCAGACTGGCAGGGCTGCTAAAGAGGAGTGAGCAGGCAGGAGAAAAGAACCCCAGTCAGCAGACTACTAGAGAGGCATCCAGTGATATTTTAGGCTTTGTCTACATGGGAAAGGTTTGCAGGTATAGCTAGCTAGAGGGACAAATTCCTTTATTGTAGATGCATTTTGTAGCACAAGAGTTCTTTTGATGTACTAGTTCCCAACACGGTGCCCGCGGGTGCCATGGCGCCTGTGGGGGCATTTGTGTACACCCGCCAAGTGCTTGGGGCTGGCCTGGCCCCAGGCACATGGCGCGTGCATGGTGCCGGAGCTGGTCCCGGGCGCAAGGCGCATGGTGAGCGCCGGCCCCGGGAGCGCCGCGGATTGGCCACCTGCACTCTGGGTGCGCGGCGCATGGGGGGAGCGCCGGCCCCGGGCGCGTGGTGTTTGGAGTGGGGCACTGGGCCTAGGCACACAGCACTTGGGGGGGAC